ATTTACTGCTTGCAAACCAATGATGGTAAGATGATGTCATGGGGTAGGACTGGATAAGTCTGACTTCTTCCTACTCCATTCAAGCATGTACTAGGTATAAGCAAATTGATACTGGATTAGCATTTGTTGGATATGTGTAAAATTATGTGTGTTGATATATCAACTGTCTTTACATGCTTGAAAGAATAAATAAATCAAATCAAATAAAATCAAATCAGTTTTCAGTGTGAGATATCTTATTTTTCTATCAGACACTTAGTGTCTAAGGCTAAATCCCACCATGAGAATTTGTTTAGACTTAGTGTCTGAGTCATGAATCTGGGACATCCCCAAGTTTCTGCCTCAACAACACGTCACGTAATATAGGTTAACCACTGCACCATGTTCTCTGTGCCAACTCTTTTTATACCTTTGCTACCTGCTGCTGATAGTAAATCAGGTATTGTTCAGTACAATGTCACTTCCCTCGTACTGATTGTAAACATGACTGTGGCTTTCCAGGAAGCCTTTCAGTTTCGTTTTGCATGTCATGTCTGCCTAATGCATTGTCTTCCTCCGATGGTTGCCGAGTCTATCACAGACAGAAGGTTGTGTGTGGGAGCAGTGAGCCAAGCCACACTATCATTTACACTTTACAGAAATGAACAAGCCTATCCAGACGGTTCTGTCTTTCGGATTTGTGTGTTGTTAGTTTATAGCTCTTTGATAGAGGTAGTCATTGAACAGCTCTCTTTTACTGGTTATTAAATAATTGTTTGTATTTTCCAGGTAGACAGAGTTATTAGAGATGTAAACAAAAACAAACAGCAAGCCTCTGAGGTTAATCAAGAACACTACTGTACATCACTGCCCTGTAAGAACACATCTCCAAAGTGTCAATTTTTTAAGCGCTAAGAAAAACCATTTTGTTGTTGTTTGTTTTGGTTTGGAACAATCCATTTTTCATATAATTTTGTGAAATTCCCTCAATAAAGGAACATGCAATGGTTTGCCTAATCTGGAAAATTCTAAATTGGATGCAGATTTTTGGTTTTCGGTGGACATGCAGTCTAAATAAGGATGTTACTTGTATAGGCAGCATATACAATGTACAAACCTACAACTTCTATCTAGGTCATCATATATCAAATAAAATCTAGAAAAGATCAACAGATCAAAAGTGGCAGCTGTGGGCAGCTAAATCACAAAAAATACCAGTGTCAGCTTTCAAAAAGCTACACTGATCAAACATAACACACTCACAGACACACACTCAATTCAAACCCACCGGGAGGACGGGCCATTCTTACTGCAGCTGGTGTAGATGACTGGCTCGTCGTCATAGAAACTGCCAAGGGCAAGTTTCTGCCTGATGGACTCTCTCTCATTCCTCTGGGCCTGCCAGAATACGAGAAAGAAAACACGAATACAAACAATATAAATATACTGTAAATAAAGATGCTGCTGCTGTACAGCCATCTCTGCTTGATTGAAATCAAGTGGGATATAACTGTAGGAAGAAGATAAGAGTTATAAATATTGTATAGTGCCAAAATTAGAATGCACACAGCTTCAGGGAAGGAAATCAAAGGAAAAGATGGAAAAAAGAAATTAATGTGGAGGGACAAATATGCATTTTATGGGAAAAGGTGTAGACGGGAGGTCTTTCAATGCAGTGTCCTGCCTTTGGGACATTAAGATAATCTAGCTGTGGGCTCACAGATGACACCATCATTATGACTGTATAATGCAGAAGGTTTACTAGGATGCTCCCTGTCCCTCACCTGATGCATCCTGGTCTGGACTACTAAGCCTAACAGGATAGGCTGGTATAAAAAATGGATGAATGAAGGAGTGTGGCAGATCATATCCTCAGGCCTAATAACAACATCTTGTTGCTTTACAGACTCACAAGACCTAAAAAAGATCCAAAATGTCCATAACACTTTGGAATATATACTGTATTTTGTTAAATACATAATTTTCTGTCTACAATAAAGCAAGTGACACTTATTTTAACAGCAGTCAAAGCAGTAAAGTTTGTGATAATCAACTGACTATTATTGCGACAAATGATCAGTAATGATCTTCCTTTTCTCACACATCCATTAATAGTCACCAAGACAGTGGCTCATATCTTCAGTAAACTGATTAGAAACTCTATGCCATCCCTGTCGAGCTGGTAGTTTAAAATGCCAAGTCATTCTGCATTTCCGTTTTGCAACTTCTCGTATTTGGTTAGTCATTCCAAACTGACATTTGCTCTCCTCGCCTTGTATTTACTGAATCTCCAGCCATGATGGTTCACGTAGTTTCTCGGCATGTATGAGTCTCCCTGCCCTGGATTCAATTTTAACCCCTTTTCCTGCTCCTCCACCTTCTTTTCTTTACCGACTTCACTTGACATCTTTCCCCAAATCACTTTCACATCAGCTTCCACTCTGTAGCTGCCCTTAGCCCTCATTTCTTTATGTCAGCTACAGAGATTTTTAGGTCATTTCAGCTGCATTGATTTCAAAATCTTGACGTTACACACATTTGGTCTCGATGCAGAGAAATACCTAATTAAATGGTTCCACTCAGCATGTTCCTATTCTTTCACCACGGTGAAAATACATGTACAGTATATTATACAACAGTACCCAAATGCCCACACATCCTTGTGTCTGTGCACTCACCGGCAACTACTGAATAACACCTCCAGTATTAGAGATGTTTCTCTCATGCGTCAGTGTTCTCTCTCTAAATAACCTCAAATCAACACACATACACACAAATTTTTTGTGACGCATCATTAGATGAGGCTGTGATATAAGGGCAAAAATCACAAATGGCCACCTTTGCTCTCCCTGCTGATTCACTTCAGACAACCACGTCCTCCTTACAAGCACTCTGTCTACACACAAGGATTCACACGCAACATATTTTACTCTTCCAGAAAAAAGTAGAAGAACAACATGGCAAAAGCGCATAATGGTCAATGTAATTTCATTTATGAAAAACCTAACAAAGCATCTTATACGATCATATAAACACAAATCATACAAGAGTAGATGTAAAAACACGGAGATAGATATCGCATATGAACACACCCACTCCCTTTACACTCATACAGCTACTCATCCAGTATGGCTGATTCATCTACGGCAGCATGCCTATGATGGACGCCTATCATGTATACCTGTAAATACTACACTACATATCCTACATACTCAGAATTACACACTACCACATGCAAACACAAGTCCTCACACCTGGTAAATGCGTTTCTCCTGGTGCACCATCCTTCAGCGCACCGTACTAAAACAGCCGCCGTGCCCTTCTCTACACTGCAGTGAAGCTAGACTCAGGAGACCCTCTCATATACTGCAGCTCTGTGCAGGAAAGTGAGCGAGCGAGCGAGGAGAAGAGAGCAGCTGTGGGAGGGGGAAGGTGGGGGGCTGTTGATGTTGGAGCAGAAGATGAAAGGGTGGGAAGAGACGGAAGCGGAGGAGGAGAGAGAAATGGACGAGGGAGGGGAAAGACAGAGCTGCTCAGTGCTGCCTCTGCTCTCCTCATCTGCTATCTGTTCCCTCATCTTCCTCATTTGTTTTCTGTCTTGTGGTCTTTCCTCCTCATCCTTCCTTTATTTGAAGGATAGGAACAAATATCAGCTGCTGGAATCTGTGTCCAGATAAGATAGGACAGATGTTATAGATTTAGAGAAAAAGGGCAAGTGACTAGTTGCAGAGCAAGGTGAACGATATGGTGGGCTTAAAGGCCCGGCTAAAAATAGTATGATAAATGAGACTGCAATACTGGAATACAAAACCATTAAAGAGGCTGTGGCTGATCAATAGAAACTCCTCCAATAAATATCAGCACTTTTGAGTAAAACTAACATGGCATGTACGTCTGCTCATTGTCCCGAGCAGAGCAATTAATTTTTAATTGCACATTATCTGTTTGTTTTGTCCCCTAAAGGAAATTTCCTCCAGCCCCATTCCACATCACAGATTCAAGTGGAATGAGCCACAAGAGAGACAAGAAAGCAGGGAGTGCACATTCCCACATGGGCATACAGAAACGCAGACACACACACACACACACACACACACACACACACACACATACATACTCACACTTAGATCCCACAGTGCTGTGTCACAATGCAGCAGTGGGCTGATTAAACAAAACAACATTTTGAGTCATCTCTCATCCTTCATCGTCATCAGGGGCCAAATCTACTCAGCCTCTCATTGCCAAGTGTTTCACTCAGGCCAGGATAATCATATACTAAAGACAGTACTCAGATACCAGATACAAAATTTGTTATATACACTGCATATTATTAGTGTTTGTTCACAAAATTTCCTTTTTATCTTGATTTTTGACTTGGCATACTTAGTTTTTCTAATGCTTTAGAAATCTGGATTTGTATCTTGTCCTCCGTTTGATTCTCTTAAGAGATGCAGTGAAATGTGTCAGTTGGACTCATGGATTAATTCAATGCTTGTGTGCCTCAGACAGAAAGAGAGTAAGACAGTCACTCACGCAGATGCTCGAGAGTCTGGTTCGTCCTCCGGCGTAACGCTGTCCACTGTATTCCACCCGTGGTGCAAAGACATCACAGAGCTCTTCAGTCCAGCTGCGGCTGTTTACCATGCAGCCTCTTTCTTCTATCTGGGGTTGTATGTCACAGTTGCCATCATCTCCACAGTCCTCCCACCAGTGGCCTGATGTGGCCTTTCTCATGAATACTTCTTCCTCCTCTTCCTCATTCATGCCCAATTCATAGTCCTCCATAAAGACAAACTGTGTGGAGCGGGTAGTAAAAAAAAAGTCAAGAGTGGGGGAGGGTGTTGTGTCCTGGCTGGAAATATGGCCAGAGATGGACTGAAGATATTTAGCAGCAGGACACTAAAAATAGATAAATAGCATAAAACAAACTGTGCCAACTTTTCTGAGCTGCAAATGCATAAATGGCATAGTCTATCTTCCTAAATTCTTATTGTGGTTAAAATAAAAATAAGTAAAATTACATATAGCATATGTTGTACTCACCTACAGTGCAGAGATGAAGCCACTCTTTTGTGTGCTGGAAATATAAATGCAAAAGCAGATATTACAACAAAACAGAGCTTAGCACAGTGCATAAAAAGGTGGCTTCATCTATGCTGGACAGAGATCGTCTTATGACTGCTCAAGATGGCTTTCAAGATCTATTGCTATTGCACTGTGACCACTGTGAGGATGTGGAGAAAAATACAGGGCCTGAGGTTTCTGCACATCCAGGAATGTTCCTGTACAGGAACTGGCTGGTTTACCTGACTGGGTCTAACCAACAAGCAGCTGGCCTGTGAAGCAGAATGATCAGCTCATCATAGCTAGATTCCTCTGGAGCACAGTACCCATTTGTTTTGACTGCTTGAGGACAGTGTGTCTGCCACATGTGATGTTTTGTGGGTTGGCAAAAAGATTCTAACAATCCATGTTATTGCTGGTTCAATGCTACTTGTTGGAATTAATTTCACTACTACAATGTGTCATCCTGGCTGCCCTACTGGTCTTGTCAAAAAGTGTTCCATCAAGATGTTTTCCCTTTTCAAAACTTTCCTGTAGCAACCCTCTTGGTGGTTGTGTTTAGGATAATGTTAGGCTTCAGGTTGGTGGGGGGGGCGCAGCAGGAGTTGTGCACATTCACAATCTTTTTCAGGAGGGGGCTTATTCTGCAATAGAATTTGAGTCGATTGCAGATTTAGAGGTACACAAGATTAAACATTAAATGGCTGGAAATGAGAATGCCCTGGGCTCAAGTTTAGACAACCCCCCAAAAAAGTTTACCTTTTGCTTCAGTTTCCCCACTGGCAACTTATAACTTGGATATTTAGCCCTCAGAACAAAAACTCAGTTGATTCACAGGTTTAATGCAACTGCAGTTTACAGTACAGCTTTTAGTCAGTGGACTAAAGGGTTCAGGAATTCTTAAGACAAGTTCCCAATAGCATTCGTCTTTTCCTCAGAGCTCATGAGGAGCAGATTCAAAGTGCAGTGCTCCCTTCTGTTGGTGGCACAAGTCATGAGCCAATTTATACTCAAGCAGAAGTTTAAGGCAAGAACCCATTTTACCACCCCACAAGAGCCCGTTGGGCAAAGCTTGTGCCCAATTAAGAACAAAAAGGGCCCCATCTGATGTTGTCAACTCAACCTAGAGGTTCTTCAGTTCCAAGTTAGCATTGCAGACATAGCATTTTCAGACTGTTCACCAAGTGCACACCTTCGATGTTTTAAGTATTGACATTAAACAGCCCCCCCCCCCCCC